CCCCAAAACCCCAAAACCCCAAAACCCCAAAACCCCTAATATTTTATTAATAAATGATTTTGTAATAATTTATCAGAAATGGAACAAAATAAAACAAATCAGCAGAATGAGTTGTTCCACATCGGCAAGGACTCAAATAAGGATTCTCTAAAGGTAGATAGTAGAATTCAAAACAGAACAAACCAATTTTTAAACAATCAAGATGCTGACCAACTTAAAAAGAACTTAAGTGAGCACAATGAAGCGAGCAGGAAAGAGATCAAGAACCAAAAGTTTACAAAGAATAGAAATTGTGAGGCGAAAGACCAGTCTGAGACCGATAATATCAAAGACATTCTTGCCGAGAAGACTGAGCACACTATTACTCAAGCACAATCGTTATGGGATAAAGGAATAGACTTTATGGATTACTACCTATTTTTGAATAACACTAAATTCGAGATCACTGATTCCCCATTTCTTCAAGAGCTGATAAAATCTGACAAAGATCACAACATTTTATTGGCAGTAGTTGGATTGAGAAAATTGTTATCTCTTGTTGACAATCCTCCTAGACAGTGTGTAGTTGATGCAGATCTGCTTCCTCAGTTAATTACTCTGACTAATAAAAAGGATGTTCCTAAAATTCAGTTTGAAGCTCTGTGGTGCCTGACAAATATTGCTTGTGGTAAAGCAGAGCATGTCGAGACTCTTGTTGATAAAGGAATCATTCCTATCTTAACCAGCTTGCTTAGGACCACCCAAGATAAAGAAGATGAAACTAAGACTTATCCCGACCTTGATCCACATAAAATTGTTGAGCAGAGCATCTGGGCTTTAGGAAATATTGCTGTTGAAGATGCTCATTATAAAGCTAAGATTCTAAAAGAAGGAGCTCTGAAGCAACTTGGTAATATTCTCCAGAAATCTGAACCAAACTCGGGCTTTACGAGAAATTGCATGTGGTGTATTAGAAACTTATTGAGAAATAAGCCTTTTCCAAAGCTTGGAGAGCTGTTCTATCTTATCCCAATAATCAGTGAATGCTTGAAGACAAATGATAAAAATAAGATTCTTACTGATGGTATATGGGCTTTGTACTACATCTCAGAGGTTGGAGAGAAAACAAATACTGTGATGATCCAATGAGGACTCATTGAAATACTTAAGCCTTACCTCAAGCATTCCGACAATAACATAGTTCTTAGATGAGTAAGGATCTTTGGTAACTTCGTGCTGAGAGAAGAAAATGAGACTCAGGCTGTTATTGATGCTGGGGTGTTGCCTCATCTTCATGACTTGCTATCTCATCAAGATAATACTATTGTCAAGAAAACTTGTTGGATGTTATCCAATATCTGTGCTGGGCCAACCGATCATATATCAGCCTTAATAAAATGAGGAACCATTGATAAACTAATAGAACTAATTGAAGTAGAAGAGTATGAGATTGGAAGTGAAGCTGGCTGGTGTATCTCTCATGCCATCGTCCACAATAATGCAGAAATTGTAGAAAAAATTGTCAGCAAGAAAGGAATCGAAGCAATGTGCTACTTATTAAAATCTAAGATTAAAGTTAAAGCAGCAATAATTCTTCTAGAAGGAATAAAAATTTGTCTTAATATTGGCCAACAAAGCTTCATCAATGAGGAAGGATTCAACGAGTTCGCTTTAATATTTGAAAATTGTGGAGGTTTAGACACAATAGAGAAATTTTATGCACATGAAGATCATCTCATTTATCAGCTCGCAGAAGAGATTATTGAGTCATACTTTCTAGTTGGTGTAAATCTTGATGATGACGAAGTAGACATTACCCAACAATTTTAAGTTTATTTATTATGACATAGATTCTAGATCAAGAACAGAAAACTTACATTGATTAGATATTTTTCTCACTCATATTCTTGACCCTTAAAACATCTCAACTTCAAATTCAACAAATAAAATAACCTCAGGGGTTTTGGGGTTTTGGGGTTTTGGGG